TCTGATAGCAGTTTGTGTCCTGTGGTGGAAGAAAAATAAGCCAATGCCATTACAAAAGTGTCAGTCTCCGCTTAGAGTTAGCATAGAAACTGTAGGCACAGTGGTCACCTTGTTGAAGTCCTTACAACAGGGAGGGTCAGGGAGGAAAGAGCTTTTGCTGAAGGACCCGTCTTCAGCTTATGCTTGTCCTTCGTCAAGATTGGGTGGTTTGGAAGTCAGATTGCTCCTGTATCCAGGAGCCTCACCCGCTGGGATCTTCCTGAGGATCGGTGGAAAGTCTCAGGGGTGGACCTGGCACTGTGCTTTATCCACAGCCAGGACTCCTGCAGGGCAGCAAGGAGGGAAGAAAGTACAGTGGCCCTAGAGCCAGTGATGGGAGCTGACCTCCGCCTAGAGCAGCGGAGGCAAAGCTGTAGCATGGGTGCCACCGCGGGCTGTCTGTATCAGTGAACGCTCAGAGAGGTTCGCCATCACTGCCACAGAATTTCAGTAATTGTCTCAGTTAGGTCACTTCTGTCTCAGCTTCAGTGTCTCCCTTTATAAAATGACAGTAATTGGATTGAATTTATAAAACATATTGTTAAAAGATGGTAAACATTGAAGTCAGATGTCTAGAATGTCACCCAGCCATTCCTACGTTTTTGACCTGAGTCCTAGGCTCCTACCCAGCCTCTGCTTGGCACCAGGAATTCCAGGAGGAGGAGGAGACTCAACCCAGGAGGAGGCTGGCAGGAACAGCGCGTCCTGCCGTCCTCCCTCAGAGCCCCTCTGGGTTCTGATATTTGGAAGCATTTCAGTCTTTTCTGGGCTGCTGTAAACTAGCTTGGCACCACTGCCTGCGGGAGCTGTGAGTGTTCTGATGTTATTGTCCCTGTGTGCAGCCGTTCCCAAGTCCACCTTCCTTGTGGCGGCCACTACAGGAACTGTCCTTACATGAAACCTCTCAGTGAGCCAGGCTGACCTGTGGATGTTAAGAGCGGGAAGAATACGGCCTTTAACCCCGGCGTCCACAGACCCTGCCCCCTCCCCAACAGTCCCTGGATAGAAGTAAGACCCTCGTGAGTGTGGATGTGAACTCCACGAGATCTTCACTCTCCCTCACCTCCATTCACCTACATCTTTAGGTGACAGTCTGCAGACCACTAGTCAGGCTGGGGGCTTTGTCACCGAGGAACTCACGGCTGTTTTATCTCACACAGGGGTTGCTGAGGATGTCGTGTAGCGTCCTGCAGTACCCATCATGATCTCCAGAGTACACAGCGTACTGGACTGTCTTAGGCCGCTTTTTGTGGCTACCACAAATTACTCAAGGCAAGCCAACTTAGAAAGAAAAGAGGATTTATTTGGGCTCAAGTTCTGGTCCAAAGTCCAGGGGCCACACCTGGTGAAGGCCTCTCCCTGGGAGAGTCCTGTGGTGGTGAAGCCAGGGAGTATGCCTGTCCATCTGTACTTGCTGCTACCCCTATCTCCTTACAGAGCCGTCAGTGTTCAGTCACGGCTCCCCTCTGAGGGCCGTAGCTCGTCCTCCTAACCCAGCATGTCGCAGTGGGGGTGAACTGCAGCATCCAGGACATGTATATGTGCTCTGTAAATTTTCCATTTTGTGGGCAAAATAGCCTCATCGAGAGCCAATGTGGTGCACTTGTTTAACATGTGCCGTTCGGATTTTGCTCATAGGAGCCATGAAATCGTCCTGGGGCTGGCTTTCCCTGTCTTCCTGATGAGTGGCCGCAGTGCTGGCAGGTCTTGTGAGCGAGCCAGTGGTGTTTGGAGAAGCGGTGGTCAGCATTGTAAAACATTCACATTGCCATGGAATGCGTATTGACATAGCGAGAATGTTTATCTTCCACTGGCTCTGGCATTAGAGGAGAATAAGATTTTAGAATTGATGGAATAAAAGTGTAGCTCCCTCGCCGGGTGCTCCTGAGAGCCTGTGAAGGGCAAAAGCCCCAGCTCCCCACTTGCTGGAGCGTGGGCCGGTCGGATGCATCTGTCACCCTGGGAGTGGGACTAGGCCTAGAACCGACCTTAGCGACCAGGACACTGGGCAGAAGGTGGGAAGAGGTGCTTTAGAGAGGATGTCAGGGGATGCAGTGGCTTCAGGGGTGAACTCGGCGAGGGCAGAGCCCCTGTCGCCGGCTTCCCATCGGCCCTGTGCAGGAGGCTGAGTGCTCCACGTGCAAGACGAATTCCGATTGATCTTTAAATCGTTCTCCATCCGTTGCTCCCCTTTCCCAGTTCCCCTGAGCCCGTTCACTGTCCAGATGTTGCTTGGAACCGAGGCCAGGCTGCAGAGCGTGAGGGCTGTGGCCAGGCAGGGACAGCGCTGCCCACAGCGTGGCTTCTCTCCGCGGGGCAACCTGGACAGGGTCCCCGGCCAGGCAGGGGTGGAGCAGGATGCAGTCACAGTCCTGGTCTGGACTCTGCTTCCGCTCAGTCTAGAGTGAGGCCTCGGGCCCCTCCAGGAGGCTCGGAACTCGTTTCTGCCTCTGGGACTCAGTTTCTGCCCCTGGGTAAAATGTGCTCCTTGGTGTGGTCGAGGGCCTGGGTAGAAGGGTGGAAATAGAGCGGGAGGCTTTGGGGACGCTGTACCCCTGCATGTGTCGTGTTCTCCGTGGCTTTGTTGGAGGATGACTTCTTGTTCCTTTTTTTTTCTGTACTTTTTTTTTCTGGGGATTGAACTTTGGACCTTGCGCTTTCGAGGCAGGCAGCAGAACCACTGAGCTAAACCCCCTCCCCAGTTGTTGTTGAGTCAGGGTCTTACCATGTAGTTCAGGCTGGCTTTGAGCTCACAATGTAATCCAGGCTGGGCTTCAACTCATGGAGGCCCCCCTGCCTCAGCCTCCTGAGTGCTGGGATTGTAGGTATATGCCACCACGCCTGGCTTAAATGTATTGATTTACAGTTTTTTGCAGTGCTGGTGAGTCAAACTCGGCCTTGTGCATGGCAGACAAGCACTGTATGTCCAACCCGAGCAGCTTGAATAGAGAGTATGAACCGCAGACCCAGAAGTACTTTTTTTTGATCCTCAGAGAAGTTTGTGCCCACCGTCCCAGACCAAAGACAGGTTTCTGTCCTGAGCTGGCCGTTTAAACTAGCATGGCAGAGGGGCCAGGGTGATTAACCCTGAAGTGCGGCTATCCGTTGGGGCTCGCCACATTCTCATCACTGCCAGTTAGGAGGTTGTCTCGATGGGGTGGGAAGCGTTGAGTGGCATCGCTGGGAGCTGGGGCACACGACTTGGCACGGTCAGTGCCCCGTAGCTGCATCCTGTGTCGTGGAACCTCCGGCGCCTGACCCCAAGCGACCCCAGCATATGTTCCTGGAGCCAGCAGGTGGCAGGGGCGGCGCTGTGAGGCACTTTAGTGACGCGTGTTCTTCTTTGAAAGTTAGTGCCGGGCAGAGAACAGGAGGGTGGTTGGATGGCATCTTCAGCTCAGCTCCCCGCCCTGGACCCGTGCTGGGGACAGGTGGAGCCAGCACTGATGCCAGCCCAGCGTCCATACCTGCCAGGGGTGGGACTGAACTGGCACTTGCATGCCCGTGCCATGATTTAATTGCTGTCATGCTTGCTAATTTTTGGAAAGCAATCAAAATATATGCCTGGCTCTAGAAGACAACATATTGCTGTCAGCCAGCAGACGTCTGCAAAGTAAAGAAGGCCTGAAGTGTGGGCGCCTCACACAGAAGGAGGGAGAGGAGACAAACAGGTGACCCTCTGTGTCCTCAGCTCCTGCCGGCCGCCCCTCTGGCTGCATCCCAGGTCCCGGGTACCCTGCTTACAGCTCTCGTACCCTGAGCTCACTCTCAGCCACGCGCTGTCACGCTGCGTGCCCACCTCAGCAGCAGCAGGCGGATGGGGAACCTCAGGCGGCAGCACAGGAAGAGAAGCGCACGGCGGCATCAGAGGGCCCTGTGTGTCTCAGAGCTGCAGCTTCCTTAGTCAACGAGTGGAGAGCAGACCAGGAAGCGTTAGGTTTTGTAAAACCGCACTGCCATCCCCCTGGAAGCTCTTTGCAGTGGGAGCGGTCAAGGCCACCATCAGCACAGTCACTCCTCAGCCCTGAGAGCCGCAGATCCTTGATGGCTCTCGTGGCCGTTTGAGGCCAGGCATACTCAGCACGCCTCCTGCCTCCTTCCACTCTGCGCTGGCGCACACCCCTCCCTCCGAGCAGCTCCTCTCTGTGCGATTCTGCTGTGCCACGGTCACCACAGTAAGGCTGGGTTTGCTCATCTTTCTGTGGCTTGCGGCTTATGAAGCAGTGATCCACACATAGCAAAGGGAGTAAACAGCTGGGCTGGTGTGGAACAGGGCGGAAGGACTCGGAGCCCAGAGGGGAGGAGCTCTGGCTGTGGGACCGGATGGTGGGTCGCGCTGGGGCTGAGTGGCTGGCAGGCGAGGTGGTGGCCAGGAGGCAGCGAGGCACCGTGGGGAAGGACACGGGAGCTGGGACACCCAGGTTTGAACCCCGGGCCGTGTGCTGATGACGTCTTTGACAAGTCGTGGAAGCTCACTGAGCATTTCTCAGCTCCAGAGCAGGAACGATGGCCCACAGGCACCCTGGGGCGCTTAGGGGAGTGAGGTGGGACTTGCAGCTACACCCACCCAGCACTCGGGAGCCGTGTCCCCAGCAGCCTTCCCCAGAGACCACCGTGCCAGGAGCACCCAGGGTGAAAGCCACGGTCTCGTCTTTCTGCATGGGGCCTGTGAACGTCACTGTGTCCCTGGGTATTGAATGCGCCCAAGCCAGCAAGTGTGCCCTCGCCCGGGGAGGGCAGGGCGGGGGACAGGAGACAACCCAGGGCACACTGGTGTGGCATCAGCCTGCGAGGCCACAGAGAACAGGTTCGCCTCACTGAGACATTAGGAAAGTGTTCTGTAGAAAACTTACGGCTTTGTTTTTGGTGGGATTTCTTCCCATGGCAGGCAGCTGCCGCAAAGCACCTGCCTGGGCACCTGTTGGTTTGACGGTTCTGTTTCATTTTCCTCCCTCCTGCAGTTCTCGCAGACAACCTGAAATCCAACCCCGGGATCAAGTGGCAGTATTTCAGCTCGGAAGAAGGGATTTTCACTGTGTTCCCAGCACACAAGTTCCGGTGTAAGGGCAGCTATGAGCACCGCAGTAGGTATGCTGACTTGCTTGCTGAGGTTCTTACTGTGGATTCACATGAGCTACGTGAACGGGCTTGGGGTAGAGCACTTGTCTAAGACGCAGGGGCCCTCGGTTCAGTACCCAGCACCACACACACACACACACACGCACACAGTGACCACACGCCACCCTGCCACAGCACTGTAGAGACTTGGACTTGTTCTGAAGCAGTTTCCCCACTCGATACCCTCCTTGGGTGTGGGGCAGGGCAGATGATCAGGCTCCAAGCTTCACAAGAACTGTCGAACAAGCCAAATAAAATTAGCCTGTACTAATGAAATTTGTTTGTTTGAAGTCTGAGAGTATTTTGAGTTTCAGATGTCTTTGTTGAAATCCAAAGGACGGTCCTTCCTGTAGTATAGCCGAGGAACGCAGCATCGTAATGAATCTCAGGAGAGTTGATGATTCTCAGCTTCCCTTTCTATGAAAATGAATTTGCCAGTTTCGTCCCTGGAGGTTTTATTATTCAGAAAACCCTGGGTTAGACTTCTGTCACGCTTCTCCAGGGAAGTGACCTGGGAGTGTCCCGCATAGCCAGCAGTGGAGGAGCGGGGATGCTTTGGATGACCTGGCTCATGGTTTCCAGGACGCCTAGGCAAAGATGCTTTGCTTTGAGAGCCACGCTTTCCCATTGGTGGTGTCAGCTGTTTGATGCCAGACCATCTACTGCCCTGCAAGGTGCCTGCTTTCCATGCCATTTGCTGGAGTCTAAATATAAACATCACTGCAGCTTCCCTTTGCTGCCCCCTTGCATTGGTTCTAGGATGTCTCAGCCACTTTCCTATCGCTGGGACAAAATCCCCAACACCTGTGACTTCAAGGAGGACAGGTTCATTTTGGCTCATGGTTCCAGTCCGTGGCCTATGGCTCCGAGGCAAAAACAGGATGGGAGAGGGGTCGGGTGGGGAGAGCTGCTCACCTCATGGCAGTCAGGAAGCAGAGAGATGGGAGGAGCTGGGGACATGAGTGCGCCCTCAGGTCGCACCCCGTGACCTCCTCCGGGGCAGTCAGCCACGAATGCATGCAGGGACGAATCCACCAGTGAGTCTAGCACCCTGTGATCCAGTCGCCTTCCACACACAGGAGACCTGCGGACGTACTATAGATTAGGACAGGCTAGGACAGGGACCTTATCCGTAAGATGAGAATTTCCCAAAGGAAAATGCTCTGCTTCTCTTAGAAACCCAGTGTGTGATGTCTTCCTTCCCTCTGTGGACACTGTGCTGGGCTTGGGTGTGTGGGGCTGGGCGGGGTGTCCTGACTTTGGCTTCGAGTTGGCTTCTCTGGGAGGTGCTCTGATTCTCAGCTGCTCCTGAGATTGAGATTGACTGGCCACGCGCGCGTAAGGCCCAGCCCACAAGGGAAAGCAGGACTCCGTCTGAGCCGCCTGCCCCAGCACGGAAGGTTTCCCTGCGCCTCCAGTCTGAGTCTGGTTAAAGTAACCCTGGAGCCTCCGGCCCTCAGCCGAAGGAGCCGAGCCTGTCCCTCGTCGTCCCCGCCACTCTCCTCCTGAGCCTCCCCTTCACCTCTGGGGAAGGAAGGGAAGGAAGGAGGGAAGGAGTCACTTTCCGTAAAATCCTCCCCCGGGCCTGGAGGACCCAGAGAGTTCCACCTTGAAGCTGGCCGGCTGTGGGCGGGGCCTCGTCTTCCTCCCGTCTCCCTCACTGGCCAGTCGCCCCGCTCTGTATCCTGCTCTCTCCGTGCTCCCTGCGGGTCCGGTGCACCAGCTGGTAAACATGTAAGAGTCCTTCCGAATTCAGGGAGGACTTTGGGCCTGAGAACAGTCCCTGTGAACGCGGCCGGATTTTGAGACTTTCTGGTACTTTGTATTTCTTAATTTTTGCCCAAGCTTTTGTGACTCAGCTGTCATCTGACACGCTATAGAGAAACCCAGGTCTGGATGGATTTGATAGCCTGGCGTCTGGGCAGCGCTCAGGCCGTGGTGGCTGACCTGCGAGAACTGTCAGCACCAAGAGGGAAGGGGCTGCTCCTGCAGGGAGAGGAGCCAGACCTGAGTCCAGAGCCGCTCTGCGAGCTCTTGGGTCCTGACATGCGCTGGGTCTACACAGAGAATCCAGTGCTGGGGACAGCACCTTCCCTCCCTGGGGGCCCCAGCTCCTCCCGGAGGCAGAACGGCAGGGAGGGCAGCACTGGCCTGCAGAGGCATGGGTGACTGAGCAGAAGCCCCTCCTGGAGGTTGGATCCCTGACACTGTCCTCTGCTGGTCTCTAAAGTGAGAGCCCCGCCCCTGTCCTGCTGACACACATTACTGTGTAGGGCGGTGGTGTTTCCCAGCTGCCTGGCCTCCTGCCTGCCACTGTCCCCGTCCCTGAAGCACACGGAGACACTGGCATGTGCACGCGCCCCACTGGCGTGCACCGAGCCCCATTCCCTGCAGCAGCGCTGACCGGGAGCTTCTCTCCCCCAGACCCATCTATGTCTCCACCGTGCGGCCACAGTCCAAGCACATCGTGGTGATGCTGGACCATGGCTCCTCGGTCACCGACACGCAGCTGCAGATCGCCAGGGACGCTGCGCAGGTCATTCTCCGAGCCATCGACGAGCACGACAAGGTAACCAGTGCCCAGCGCCCTGGCCGTGGGTCCTGCTGAAGGTCGTCTTCGGGTGACTTCCTTGTTCCCAGCCATAGAGCGGCACTTTCGTGGTCCCCTGAGTCCCAACGCCTGGTTACCTGGCAGGTGACACCCGGGGTTGCTAGGTCACGGAGCGTGGGTGGAGCATGCCAGCGTGGTCACAGGCCTCCTTCTCCCGCTCAGAACACAGCGGCACCCTCAGGAGGCCCATGCTGTGTGTTCCTTATTCATCTGTAAAGTGACTCGGGGACGAGGTGGTGGCTTGGTTTCTACCCTAAGTGGAGGAAGCAGCCCCCATCCCACCATCTTCCGTGATTCCCGTGGCCGCCCGCCACAGCCTGCGTGTCCTGTAGCCACGTTCAGTTTCTGTTAGCCGACACTCCCGCCAGAAGCTGAGCTGAGGAGGGGAGGGAGCGGGCGGGCCGCTGGCGGGGCCTGATCTTTGTCCCAAGATTGGCAAGAAGTGGGGCACAGGGGACGGCTGCTGGGGTCACGGCTCTCAGGCCACACCCGATAGACAGCTCAGGGTCATCTGCAGCCTGTGCGTGTTTTCTGCTTTGTCAATTTGACTTTCCTGTCTCACTAATGTAGTTGCTTCACACACACACACACACACACACACACTCATCCCCACTTCGAATTTGAAAACCAAGATGCTTAGTTCCTGCTAAGGTTTTTCTCTGCGTGAATTTTGTTGCTGTTATTGTTTTAATGATATTTGCTGATTTTTTTTTTTTAATGTGAGTGCAGTGTTGCTGCTTCATTCTGGAACAAAAACCAAACTCCAGGGTACCGTCCCCTTATGAACAAACCTTTTTTAACTTGATAGATTGATACCTCCAGGTGTTTATTTTTAAGTTCAGATAGTGTCCTAGAGTCTTCTCACTGGTTGATTTCTTCTATTCCATAAAATCCTGGCTGGGTGGCCTGGCACAACCTGTAGTTCCAGCTCTTTGGGAGGCTGAGACAGGAGGATTGCTTGAGTCCAGGAGTTTGGGGACCAGCCCAGGCAACATAGCAAGACCCCCAACTCCTTCAAAAATCTTAAACTGATAGGATAGCAAGTGTTTGTTGCTTTCCCCCTTCCTGCAGATTTCCGTGTTGACCGTGGCAGACACCATCAGGACCTGCTCGCTGGACCAGTGCTATAAGACCTTCCTGTCCCCGGCCACCAGTGAGACCAAAAGGAAAATGTCCACCTTCGTGGGCAGCGTCAAGGCCTCAGACAGCCCCACGCAGCACGCGGCGGGGTTTCAGAAGGCGTTCCAGCTGACCCGAAGCACCAACAATAACACCAGGTTCCAAGCAAGTAGGTGCAGGAGAACGGGGTCCTCTCGTCCTGGGCCCCGAGCTGGCTTAGAGGGTTTTCACAGGCTGCCTTGGCCTAAAACCCTGGTATTCTCTTCATGGTCCTCTCCCACTCAGACCCTACTAGACTTCCTCATCCTTTCCAGTCAGACATGGTTAGTTGCTGGTTAGCTGCTGTTTAGTTGCTGGTTAGTTTCTGGACTCCCAGAGCCTTCGCTTGCACCCCTGAGAGGCCCGAACCCTCACGGCTTTCCCCAGTGAACTGCGTGTCCTTTTTCATGTTCATCCTCCTGGGTCTGACCTAGAGGCCTCAGAGGAGCCGCCTGCCTGCTCCAGGGAGGGCGCAGGGAGTTGCCTTGGTCTCTCCTCTCCCAGCTGTCACCAGCTGAGCGCGGCCCCTCAAATGCACAAAGGCAGGCTAATGGAATTTTCATGTGTTAAAGAAAGCTGGAATTGGGCTGCATGCTAAAGGAGAGGGAGGCGTGTTTGAAATGGGACTCGTGCTTTGAAACGACCACAAGGAATCTGTTTCATTTTCCCTTTTATGTTCGAACATCTATTGGTAGCTTTTTGTCTTTTTGGGAAAACATGAGTATATCCTGTGGAGATAAATTTAGAGGATGCGTTTCCAAGCTCTCGAGTACATCTGCATTTCAGCTAAGGCGGCACTGATCAGTGCTCAGCATAGGGCCTGGCACACTGGCCCTGCAGGAGGAGGTAGCTGGAGTTACAGTAACAGCCCTGGCTGTTAGCATCATCTTTGTAAAAACTGACCACAAGCTTAGCAGCTTAAAGAACGTGCGTCTGTTATTCCATGGTTCCCTCCAGCAGGGAGTCCAGGCGGGCGTGGCTCAGCCAGGGCTGTGTTCTGCACTCGGGCTCCAGGCCCCTCTGCCCCATGTGTTTGTCGGCAGAATCACCCCCTCGAAACCACGAAACTTGAAACCACGAAACTCCTGTCTGCTTCCTCAAGGCTGGCCAGGGCCCTCTCTTCCACTTGGAGTCCTGACTCAGGGAAGGTGGGCCCCTCTAACAGGCTCGGCCGACAGGCCCGGAGCTGCTGTCCTCTGAGTTGATCGGCTCCTCTCCCGTGCGATTAACCCATAGCCAACGGGTTATCGCTGCCCTGTCACATGTGGCAGCTGTGGTCCCAGGAGTGACCCCGTGCCAGGTCCCTTTGGCGCACTGTGGTTGATGGCCAAGCAGAGCGGGTGCCAAGCAGCTCCGGCCCCTTTCCTCCTCTCAGGGTCTTGCTGCAGCCTCGGTGGCTCCAGCTCCCCACGGGCCGGCGGGCCGGGGTGACTGTGCCAGGTCACCCCCAGATCTGAAGGGCTGGCAACGGGACTGGGCTCTCGGGTTCTCGTGGGAAGGGCGGTGCTTCCATGCCCTTCCCTGCAGCCCCCTGGAAGCGCCCTTTCTTCTGGACCCTGAGGTTATGGAGCCGGATAATGGGCAGAGCACAAGCCAAGCAGGCCCAAACCCAGTGCCTGCCGTGGGCCTTGAGAGCTAATGCCTTCTTGTTATGGTGCACAGAGCGTCATCTCGCGCTGCCAGATCTGACTCAGAGGAGCCAGAAGCCCGGATTTCAGTGTGAAATCCCCTGATTCTCAAGTGCTGCTGTTCGTTGCAGCTTAAAACCCATGAGCAGAGGCCACCGAACCTGTTCTCCCACACCTTCGCCTGCACATGGCAGAACCCAGGTGTGAGGGGCATTTCCCCGCTGGGCTTTTGTGGTTGTCTGTCTTTTCTTAACATTGGCAAATAGAACATGGTGAGAAGACTGAGCATCAAGGCTCGGGCACACTTCTGCGCCACAGCTTTAGAAACACTCTGCACAGAAGGCGTGTTTGGCGACTTAGATGTTTCCAAGGTTTAGCTCACCATCCTGTGTTTCACAGCTGCTTCTAGAAATTCAGGGAACAGACCCCAAATGGGTTTGCCTAAAGAAACTTTGGGCCATGTGTGGCCGCACACACCCTTGATGCCAGCTAATGGGGAGACAGGAGGATTGCAAATTTCAGGCCACCCTGGGCTGCTTAGTGAGCTCCTGTCTTAAAGTAAAGCAGAAAGTGCTGGGGATGTAGCTCAGCGGTGGAACCCTTGATTAGTGTGCACAAAGCCCCTGGGTTCAGTCTGCCGTACTGACAAGGAAGGGAAGCAGGGAAGGAAAAGGAAAGAGTGAGTTTGCATTGTCTAAGAGAAGCTTAGGGTGCACCCAAGCCATGTTCCCTGACGCTTCTTGTGAGGGTTTTGGATTCAGCCAGTGTCCCCCCCCAGAGACTCCTCAGACCTCGTGAGCATGAGTAAATTAATCAGTCTCTCCAGACCCGTTGTCCTCGTCCACAGGCTGAGGCAATCACAAGACCCCAGACCCCAGGATGCGTGTTCTGTGCCGTCAGTGGTGGTCATGATGCTGCTCCACCTCCTCCATGACTTCTCCTCTGGCTGAGCGAGAGCAGATCCATGCATCCTAAGATGGCCCCAGGCCCAAAGCTGGCCAGTGACCCTGGTGGCCTGGCAGTAGCAGAGTGGGTGCCCGTATTCCTCCATAGAGCTCACAGCTGCATCACTATTTTGTCCACACCATGGGCATTTATTTAGCACCTGCTGTGTTCCCAGGGCCACTTTGGGTGCCTTGGGGCGCTGTCATTTGCAGGAGCCAGCCCTTCCCTTTGGGGCTGTTGTAAGGATTCGTCCAGGCACGGGTGTGGATGGGGTGCCTGCCCCACATTAGGCACCGCACAAACAGAAGGATGTGGCGTGAGTCCCCGCAGCTCTGCGCCAGCCCCAAATCCACAGCTTCACCCAGCGTGGGCTCTGCCCCAGTCCCGGTAGATCTGTGACGGTGCTGCTCGCCCTTCAGCTTGTTCATTCCGCCTTTGCGGGGGTGACTGGTCGGAAAGTCTTTGGTAGCTGAGGGAGGGAGAGGGTTGGGGATGAGGACCCCACAGCACGGGCAGAGCATGTGTGGGAATCGCTTTTCCCCGCCGGAACTGACTCCAGGGCGTGCTGGGTGCGTGGCGCTCCTCAGAGGAGAGGGCTGCGTTTCTGTCCCTTTGCTCTGCGCCAAGTCCCTGAGGTCCCTGCCCCAACGGGATCGATCACAAGCCTTAGGTTCTGAGCGGTGAGTGGAGAAGAACTGGTGAGTGAAAAAGTCGGACCAGATTTAGACAGCGCTGATAACTAGAGGTGGGAAAGCAACTCAAGTTTCTCGGAGGATGGGCACACCGCTGAGGGGGGCCGAACAGAGCTGGCGAAGCCCTCGGAGAGTGCATGCCTGCAGAAGGAGCCACAAGCTTTGAGTCACTGCCCCACAAGCTACAGGCAGCTCACGGCGACAGTGGTGTCAGTGCCCCATGTCCAGATCCCATGGCCAGGTGAGAGGACCCAGGGCCACCTGGGGCATCCAGGAGATGGCCTCGCATGGTACCTTTGTGGTGACGAGGTGGTCTGTCCCAAACTGCGTCAGCCTCACAGTTCGGCCCCCAGGGAGGGGGCCGGGTATATTCTTTGGTTTGTTTTCTTACAGTCTGAAGCTTAAATGAGATGTTCGGGGTCCTCGTAAAATAACACAGAAATATAATTACAACACTGAAAAAATATCCATGCCTGGGCCGGGGATTTAGCTCAGTGGTTCCACCACTTGCCTCACAAGCACAAGGACCTGAGTTCAATCCCCAGTACCAAAAAAAAAAAATCCATGCCTGGTTTAAATTTTTTTTTTTTCGGTACCAAGGATTGAACTTGGATCCTTGCGCTTTCGAGGCAGGCAACGGAATCACTGGGCTAAATCCCTGGCCCAGTTTAAAAGTTTTTTGCAGCAGCATTTACTTCCTAATCCGGGATGACTGAACAGTGAAATCCCATCTGTGGTTCACTAGAGTTGTTCAAGCACCGAAACTAAGATTTGCCTGTGTACTCACTGTTCATAAATACGGGAACTTTGCATTTATTTCTTTGAGTCAGATTTTATTGTGCTCATTTCAGCCATCTATACCGCTAACATGACTGCAATTAACTTTTCCGTTCTGCACAGTAATGAATACTTCTAAAAATGAAAATTTACAAACTGGGAAGCACTTCTAGCATTGTGCCTTTGTGGTTAGGATAATTTAAACTAACTGTTACGTATTGCTGCATAACAAATTAGCCGAACACCCATTAGCTCAAAATAACAGGCCTTTACTGTATGATAGTTTCTGCAGGTAAGGAGTCTGGGGGCGGCACAGCCGGGACTCTGTCCCGTGGACAGTGCTGTCATTTGGAGCTCAGCTAGGGTGCCTGCGGCTAAGCCACTCCCGGGCTCCCCTCTTTATGGGACCATGCTCAGCATGCCAGCTGGCTTCCCTCGCAGTGTGGAGGCGCCCACGGCAGAAGCCGCAGTCTCTGTGACCCAATCCCACCCTTGACCTATGTCACCTCGTGCATTCTGCTTACCGGGAGAGAGGACCATGTCGCACCCCGGGGATGCGGGTGCCAGGGCTGGGCTCACGCCGGACTGACTTGGAGGGGAAGGTTCTATGCAGGATGTCACAGAAGTATCTGCTGAGACAAGAACCCAGCCTGAGATAGAAAGAAACAAGTGTGTAGCCCCTCCTCCCAGCAGGCTCTTGCAGCCTCTCCTGCCTGTTGCGGGCAGGATCTGTCCCCTCGTTTCTTTCCTGAGTCCGCTGCACTCTGCTGCCGGCCCAGTGCAGGCTCCTCGGCTGCTCTCCATCCCCTGACTCCAGCAGTAGTTTCAGTCTTTGCTCATCACTCCTTCTTCTCACACTTAGAAGGGCTGGAGGTTTTGTGTGTGCATGCATTGTGGTTTCCTTCTTTTGTTTGTTTGTTGTTTGTTTTTTGAGGCAGGGTCTCACTCTGTAGTTCAGGCTGGCCCTGTACTCGCTATGGAGCCCAGGCTGGCCCCAAATTCACAGCGATCCTCCTGCCCCGGCCTGCCAGCTGCTGGGATTACAGGTGTGCGCCACCACGCCCAGCCTCTCTTCTCTCGTACACCCCTGAGCCATCTCCGTTTGGCTTATGCTCCGCTTTCCTCAACCCCTGAGCGGTTTGGCCCAGCATCACCCAGGGATTGTGCTTGTTTACACACTGTCTTTCCCAGCATCACTTGGGCAGTTGCCATCTCAACTAGCCCAGTCTTACATTGGATAAATTTGATAAAATTCTCATTTTATAGTTCCTGTTATATTATCTTATAAAAATTAACAAAAATAGACGTGATTTTGGGGTCATTCTGTATTTAAATAACTGGACTGGGAAGTGGCTAACCAGCTGGTTTCTACAGCAACCTACCCAGTCAGGACTGCGTCTGTCCATTTTATAGACAGGGAGACCTGGGCAGAGAGGCTCCGATATCAGTCTAAATCACCCCGACACAATGCATGTGTAGCGGAGCTGGGTTTTCAGCGCTTGGCTCCTGCATCTGTGTCCTGTGCCCTGCCCTGATGAGGTATCAAAATGCAGCCATACCTGGAGATGAGGGACTCCTCACCTGCCTGCCTGGGGAGCGCTGGGAAGCCTGGCCCCCCAAAATGTGTTTCCTGGCAGTGGCCCTGCTGGCTGAGGAAGAGATGAACAGTGTCCCTGATCCCCCTCCACAGAAGGGCCTCGGGGAGGGGGGAACGGGACGCTGTGGCCGGATCCCAGTGTAACCGGGTACGTTTGCATTTAGACACGGACATGGTCATCATCTACCTGTCAGCCGGCGTCACATCAAAGGACTCTTCGGAGGAAGATAAAAAGGCAACACTCCGAGTCATCAATGAGGAAAATAGCTTTCTGAACAACTCTGTGATGATCCTCACCTACGCCCTCATGAACGGTAGGCAGCACGCGAGGCTTTTGTTTTAGATGAAAGTTCCCTCTAAGTGGATGCTGCTTTTAAAAAAGGAAACAGAGGGGCTAGGGATGTAGCTCAGTGGTTCTGCTGCCTGCCTCGCAAGCACAAAGTCCCAAGTTCGATCTCTGGTACCAAAAAAAAGGAAAGAGACCCAAGTGTACTCTGCTGAAGGTGTCTCAGGGCGGCCGCTCTTCCTGTGCCTGGTCCGGCATTCAGGGCCACGTGGGATGAGTCCCTCCTGTCCCCACCCAGCGGCTGCTCATCCCAGCCTCCTCTCCAGTCCAGGTTACTGGGTAAACTCAGCCCATGGGTTCTAGCTGCTCTAGGCCAGCACTGGCCTGGATCCTTTCCTGTCACCAACACAGGGGTGTCACCTTCCCCGCAGTCCTCTCCAGCATCCTCTGCAGGACGGGTGGGGATCAGCCACTGTGCTGGGCACACACGGGACAGCGCTGGCACAATTATGCATTCCCGTGCAGCTGTAAATGAAAGTGCGTCTCCCCGGCCCATGGTCACGTCCCCCGCAGTGGTGACGTGGTGGGACAGCACAGTGAGGTCCACGCCTGTGCGGGCTGTTCACACAGAACACGGAGACGGGACACTGACACCGTGCGGAGCGTCCATCACCACAGCGTCCTTGCTGTGTTCCGAGGGGCTGTGTCAGTACACGTTTGATCCCAGCCACGGCAGATCCCACCCAGGCACACACCACGTCCACTGTCTCGAGTTGCCCTTGTGTAACCACAGCCAGTCCCATCCGGGACCCTGAGCGCGAATCCGTTTCCATTTTTACGGTGCCATTTGCGTGCCAGTATGCAGAGTGAGTTTAATAAACTGGTGAATCCAGAACAATGCTGTTCTCCCCTGCTTCCCAGCCTGCCCTCCCGCTGCGCCTGCCTGGCTGTCCCCACCGTGCTGTGCCCGCCTCCCCACTGTCCACACTGCCTCTCCGGCCTCTGACCTGGCCCTCGGTATTCAAGGAAGCCGGGTCCTTGTGTCACAGAGGCCAAGTCCACGCTCCAGCCTTTCCCCCTCTGACCCTTCGTTCTCTTCCCCACCCCCAAAGTCCTCTGTTTTACTGTGTTGCGCATATCTGCGGGCTGCTTTTAACATGCAGATCCCAGGCACCGCCCTCCAGCTCCTATTGCGGCCTTGGAGGCTTCTGGCATCTAGGGCTTCATTCACTCTCACAGGCCCCCTCTTCCTCCTGTTCAGGGACCACACGCAGGCCCAGGCCCCAGGCTCTGCTGCCCACGCCAGAAGTCCCACCTGCATTTCCAGCTGCCTTTCGCCTCGGCTTTACCTGTGCCGTGAGCATACTGAAATCTCCACAGTGCAGGGCTAGGGACTAAAAATCAACCGCTGTAGGATGTGTGTCTAAAATCGTTAATAAGGACTGTGGAAAATACCAGGTCTTCAAGGCCAGCTGGAGGAGAGAAAGGAAGAGGCTGTGGTTTCCTGTCTCCAGCTCCGGCTTGCGGACACCTTGCTGTCCAGGGCCAGCTCCCTGCTCAGCTCTGTCCCCAGCTGTGCATCTGCCCAATGACCATGTCTCCCACTCTGCTGCGTGAGGGACCCGGGCAGTGTCTTCTCTCCCCTGGGCCTCCACTTTCCCCAAGATCATGCTCCTGGATAACGGGCGGAAAATGGCTTTGTTGTCTTTGTGTCCTGAGTGCCTGGCACAGGCTGAGCCCGTGCTGCTGTGGTCCCCAACGAAGCCCTCGCTCGCCCATATACCCTCAGGGCCTGCAACCTGCAGGTTGCTCTTTTCTCCAGTGATTCAGCTCCCTTCACTCATGCAAGGAGGAAGGGAGGGAAACAGTTCCAGGAGCACCAACAGCGTCCAGCACAGTGAGGTTTTAGGGCTGCCTGAGGCAGAGTCCCTGTCTTCAAGACACTTGTCACCCAGAGACCAGGACAGACAGACACAGCAGATGGACTGGACATGTCAGAGGCGTGAGGAGGCCCACAGGCAGCTATTGCTCCTTCTCCTCCGTGAGACGTAAAGGTCTGGTGCCACACACTGCCGTCACCTGTCCCTTCACTGTGCCCGGTCCTCCCACCAGGGTCTCCTGTGTGTGCTCTGAGGATCCCACACCTTAAGACTCCGGTGTCTCCCATCCAGCATCCTTTAGTCTAGCCGGGTGCACTTCTCTCTCTCTCTCTCTCAGCATTTCAGTGCTGTTCACTAGGGAGGACACATTCCCTAACCACTAACTGGCCCACTCAGTTTAGGCAGGGGAGCAGAACCACAAGAGTTTGGGGATAGAGAATTTGTCATCAGACCTAGAATGTGCACAGTTTGTGGGAGACACTGGAGAAGTAAAGGTCCAGAAAGGGGATCTCTCTGAGAACACGACACAGAGGCAGTTCAGTCACCGATCGGTGCTCACAGTGAGGTCTGGAAGCTGAGGATTTTGAAGATGGCTCCGGAGGCCTGGCTGTGATGCCCTGGAAGCTTCCTGAGCTGCCAGCCCATGTGTGTCCTCAGGGACAGAGAGAGGCCTGCCTGGGCTTCTGCTGATGTGGCCAGAGAAGAGTGGGATGAGCTGGGACAGGCTGTTCCTCTCCTTTGCCTTCCAACCTTGCAATGCTTGAGTTTTGGCGTCTTGAACTTGGGCGCATACACCAGGAGCATCTGGGAGATGTCATTTCCTGCATGACTGTTGGCAGTGGACATCCCAGTGTCCTTACCTACATGCCACCCCGCGCTGGCCACTGGTGTGTGACATCTCATGACGAGGGGACCAAGAAGCACATGGTAACCTTTTGTCCTACACTGCTCTGCTTTGCCTAGCAGATATTTTCATCACCTTTTGCAGGTTGAGAGATCCACATACAGTAATGTCTGACAGAGAAAGGAAATGCATTCGCAGCCAGAGCTGTCTCCTGCTATGGTTTCTCCTCTGAGCTTCTCCAGGGTGTGAGGTCAGGGTGGATTCTGGCTGACTGTGGTCTGCTGCAGACACCCTGACCTTCCTGCCTCAGCTCTGCAGCGGGTGAAGGGAACAGTAGTCTGATTCTGGCTTAATTTGGCCCAGGTATTCTTTCCATTTCTCCAGCATTGCACGAGTGTCGTGAAATCCAAGCTTACCTAAATATGGTGTTTTAAAAAGCAAAGTGATTCCATTAAATCCTGCCCCTACTTGAGAAATGGACTTCCATCTGTAGAAAGGATAAAAACACATGGCAGGTGAGTCATGAAGACGTCAGATTCTTTTTAATGTCTGAACACTTTGTGATTTGCCGTTAATCTTCACGAGTATGAGGCCAGAACTTTTTTAAATCAATGGAAGGATCTCGGTAGTGACTAAAATCATTTGAATTTGTTTACAGTGGTACCCATCTGAGATCAGTTACTAATCCTTTTGACGAGGTTCCAACAATAGCAAACTTTAAAAGATGGTTTATTAAATTTATTTTTGTACTATAGATTACAGATGTTGTACAGCAGTACATACTCGTCTGCCTCAACCTTCTACAAAGTTTTTAAAACTCCCGAAATATAAAAAATATACATTAAATAAATCAAATTCAGTATTATCCTAACTATCAAGCATGGAGACATTGTAATTAAAATGAGCTTAAAGAAGCAGGGTTTGGACCATCACTAAATGCAAACCATGATTCTTTCATTTAGTTTTGCAAGATTTTGGCAAGTGGTTTTACAAGCAGAGAAAGAATGAAATGGTGAACTTACCCTTTAAAGCTCTCACAGTCTCATCTCCTACTTGAAATTAAATGCAGGCTTGTTACCCATGACTTCTGCTTTCACATATTAAAGGCAGCAAAAGAATTCAAATCTTATAATTAAACTTTTTGGGGAGAGCACACCCCTCCCTACCAGATGGGGACCCTTTATTTACCCATGCGTCTTTCATCATTACCTCCTCAAGAGTCCCTTGGCCCTGTTGGCTGTGTGAACAGGACCGTGCTCGCCTGTTCCTCTCACAGGAAGTGCAGTCCATGTCCCCGTTCATGTCAGCCCTGCAAAGCCCACAGAGGCACTGGGAGTCAGACTGCGTCTCTGCCTGTGCTGGGCTGGAAAGGCGAGATGAGCACACGTAACCAGCTGCTTCCACGGGCTCCCTTGCTTTGCTTTCAGATGGGGTGACCGGTCTGAAGGAGTTGGCTTTCCTGCGGGACCTGGCCGAGCAGAACTCGGGGAAGTACGGGGTGCCTGACCGCAGCGCCCTGCCCGTGACGAAGGGCAGCATGATGGTGCTGAACCAGCTGAGTAACCTGGAGACCACAGTGGGCAGGTTCTACACCAACCTTCCCAACCGCATGATCGACGAGGCCGTCTTCAGCCTCCCCTTCTCCGATGAGATGGGAGATGGTGAGTCAGGGAACTCCCTGCCAAACAGGAAGTGAAGATGTGGAAATGGGGCCCGATCTGTCTGTAGCCTGGACTGCCACACCCTCAGCCTGGTAGCCCTAACATCACAGATAGGGAGCAGAAGTCCCCGCCCTGTCCTTCCTGTTGTCCTGGCCGCAGTGGGCACCGGGGCTTGGGGGTGAGGCTGCTGAGGATTCTCCAGTGTCCACACTTAGTCAGCTGGGACCCACAGGTACCTTTGCAGCCTGACTGTAAATAATGCTTAGACGGCCTTAGGATCCCTCCAAAGGCGGGTGCCACTGTGCAGCCAGGCATCAATGGGCTCTCAAACCCATCTCCCGCCAAAGTTACTGTCTTCACGGACTTGTGTAATCTCATTAATTCTCCATTTGATCATCTGCCAGATGAGGTAATAAATCTTCCAGGTATTTAGGGTCAATTAGATTACATATAACAGCGTTTTGGTAACAGGCATACCACCCAATGGTGTGCTTTACTAACTCATTTTATCTTTTAATACACTACCTTTGTTGTTATTATTATGATACCCATAGTGTGATGTCGAGAAAAGTCCTTAACTTCATATGATCTAATTTCCTGACCTAAAAGAATGAGAAATAGATTTCCCTCTAGGGAGTTAGAAAAATCACATGCAATCATATGGGTGTGTGCTATTGATGCGTGGCCAACAGTACATTCTCAATGAAAATGCAGTCTTTTTCGTTATTCCTCATATTCTTTTTTTTTTTTTTTTTTTTTTTTGGTACCGGGGATCAAACTCGGGTCCTTGCGCTTGCACAGCAGGCCGCGAAACCACTGAGCTAAATCCCCAGCCCATTCCTCATAGTCTTGCTTAGCCCTTCCCCACACCCTTCACAGAGAAGACTGCAGAGGAGCTAATTCTTACCCAGACAGCAGCATTGCAGTGTAACATTTACGTTCAGTTAATAGGAACTCTCATAAATATAGGTATTCAAAGAAAACTCATATATAAAGAGTAGCAAGCACAGAGGGATTGTGTTTCCCAGAAACAGGTAAATATATTCTTCTGTGAAGAAGAAATAGGGCCACTGCTGTTACAACTCAGGTTTTATCCTTGCTCTTTCTGATAGGGCCTACAGGTATAGAATGGGAATTCCCACCTTTAAGTAAGGTTGCTTTTCTGCGTAGTAAAAAGGTCATATTCCAAATGCAAGTGACTTTTCGTGCATTAATCAGTACTGACAAGGACCACCCCACCATGTGCCAGGCAGTGGTGAGTAAGGCACACATCTTACGTCTGATAGGAGAAACACAGATGAGAAATCCTGCAACGATTGTGCCGAAACCCGGCCCCATGGAAACTCAGGAGTAAACAGCCAAATTCTGTTACCACTGGCGAGGGTGAGGCCCTTCCTAAACTTTACCTCTGCAACCCTGAGAGCTACTCTGCAGGCTTTAAGCCAAATTATGTTGAAAGCCTTGGTCGCCTGTTGGCTGATGGTATCCAAATGTTGTTTCTCAGAGCCTGGGCTATGAATCCATGGTTTAAAGATCCATGGAATTCACCTAATCGTGTGTGTCTTTTCATTCTGTTTCCAGCCCCTAGAAGTATTGGGACACACATACTCAAGTCCATGACATGAGACATCAGTGTAAGGAAACCCACAGCTCTGAGTCAAAACCACCACGATTAAAATATCACTTTCTGGACATTTATTTCTTTTCAAAACCAAATCTCTGTGCTTGAGGTTAAGGTGGAGCATCTAAGAATTTTGTCCATGTGGCAGGAACTCACATACTTCCATTTGCCACATTTGGATTGAGAGTTTTCCAAGTTGATAGTGGAGAATTTGGAGTGTGTTTCTTTTTTTAAGACTTTCTTCTCAATGTGTCCAGGGAAGAACAGAAATGCAAACTGCCTGTGCATCTTGGTCACGGGGTATTTCTGTTGAGCTTTGCTGATCTATGAAAATGGCTCTAGTCAGGGGTGAGGATGTCGCTCAGCTGTGAGCACTTGTCCCGCATGCAGGAGGCCCTGGGTTCTGTCCTGAGAGCTGCAACAGAAACGAGTATGGCCCTAATCTTAGCAAAAGACCCAGGGAAGTATGGCCCACGTCCCAGGACTGTGTCACCATGCCAGCCTGCTGCTCCTGACACTTGCAATCCCTTCACCCAGGGAGACCTGAGCGAAAACCTCCTGCAGAACGCACCCTTAGAACCTTCTGCAGGCTGTTACTTTGCAGTTTTAAGGCAGAGGGAATACATTAATGTGACCTGCTTCGAGAATGCTCTTAAAATTACCCAGTGTGTGACTTGTCACAGTGCCCGCCCCCTCCTGCCTGCTGATGTTTAGAAAGTTCAGCTGCTTTTCCCGGGTGTTGTGGAGGAAGGGTTTCGGGTCAGCCAGCAGCTCGGGAGCACAGGATCCAGATGGAGACAGTCCTCCTCGGGGTCTGGAGCCCTGCAATGGTGGCACCATGGGCCGAGGGACTGTTCCATCCCTGCCCACGCTGGCCCCTCACAGCCTCGGTCACCACGGTGGCTGGGGGAGCCGGATGCCAGGAGCTCGGCTGTGCCCTCTCTACCACATACACTGCCCCTCCTCTGCGCATTCTCCTCCTCTGTGCTCTTGCTGTGCCTCAATTATCCCAGGATGTTTGTACGGCCCACGAGCTAAGGATGGTTGTGTATTTTGATGAAATTGTTTTTTAAAAAAGAATATATACCCAAGACTGACAAAACCTACCTGGACACACGTTTCTTCAGAAGCCTGATTTCTCCATCTACTAAAAGTCCTGTGAGCTGGAGTCTTCCCTTTGTACAATGGCCCCCGGACTTCCTAGGTCCTGAGAGGGCATCAGGGATCTCGATGAACGGTGCCAGCAGAAGTCCTGTCTCTCTTGATCTAGAATGTCCTAGAAACCAGGAAAGCCGTTGCCACTGTGTCCCCAACACCTAAGTGCGGGCAGGGCTCGGAGACAGGGTGAGACCCCAGATTCTCCACGTCCTCGTCCCGTGGCCTCTGTTTAACTTCCACACCTGAGTTGCCGAAGGGCTCTCTTCACCTCCCACTGCAGCTCATTTCATTTACAGTGTGACGAGGGTGAGCACAGTCTATGGTTGAAGGTTTAATTAAAATTTATTTCAATAAAAGACACTGCCATTAATCTGCCTCACAATCCTACCCCTTCTCTTCCAGTGCACTCATCCCATCTCCTGGCTACTTCCTGCAGCAGCTCTGGAGCCCTCTCTCCTGAGGGTCTTTAGCTGTGCTGTCCTGGCTGCCTCAGTGTCCTGAACTCATTCAAAATGCTTCTTTTTCCTGGTCATTTTGACTTTGGGGAAGAGCTGGGAGTCACACAGCACCAGATCCAGTGACTAAGGTGGACAAGGACACAGCGTCATGGTTTTACAAGCTGCCTTTTTGCCGGATGTATTTTTGATTACACCTCATAAAGACACTCCAGAAAGAGGACTGCAGAGCTGCTGCAGAAAGTGACAAGGACGATGGGATGAGTGTGTTCAAAGCGAGGAGTGTCTTGAGGGGATGAATGGCAGCATATCTTTTGCTCTGCATTTTAAAATGAAACATTCACCGTGTATGTTGTTCACACCTCATACTGTCTGGCCAAAGCAGTGGTCGGTTCCTGAGTCACATGGGAAGCTTTTCTCCCAAGTGGAGCTGAGACTGCGAATATCAGCCTCTGGTTCCCTGGAGCACTTCTCCAGGCTTTTTCCAGAGCCTTCTTGTCCAGCCTTTTAAAATGATGTTTTATCGTGCAGGTTTAATAATGACCGTGAGTAAGCCCTGTTACTTTGGAAACCTCCTGCTGGGGATCGTGGGGGTGGATGTGAATCTGGCCTACATCCTTGAAGACGTGACCTATTACCAAGACTCCCTGGCATCCTACACATTCCTCATAGACGACAAAGGTAATGGGCTGAGCCTCAGTCCCAGGGAGAATGGGTTCCTCAGCTACTCAGAGACAGCAATCGTAGGTGTCGGTCCTGACAAATGGAACAGGATAAAGATGGTATTTAAAGAAAAGCAGTGTGGCTAGGACCAACACCACGAAGACGGCAGTCAGTCTACGAAGTACATGCGCCTCTGTGTTGTGTGGAGGGTGGGTATAATTCTTGGTGACATGGGATTGAATAACACTGTAATCCTAGCACTTGGGAGGCTGAAGCAGAGGGCATCGCTCTGAGTTCAGCGCCAGCCTGAGCTACATAACGAGACGCTGTCTCATAAAACAAAATAAAAGAGTCCTTTCAGCCATGTCCAACCAATAGCCCACTCTTCATTGGCTTTTTTATCCTTTTTTTGACTAAAGAGGAGTTGTTTGGGGCTACATATAAAAAATACAATATAATCTATATATGTCTCAAAACTTATTTTATTTTTCATAATTTTCATTATAATATTAAAGTAGGCAACAACAAAACATGCTTCATCTGCAGGTTTGCCAGATCCATGGTTTTGTGTTTATATTGTTATCTTTAGATTTATTGGCATTAAGGTTTATGTGGCAGATTAGAAAATTTCATAAAATGAAAACCAACACTGCCAAAATATTCTCGATAATTTCCGACCTCTTCCTATTCTTCGGGAGTTTCACATAAGCGTGTAGAAAGCAGCTTGGGCTTCGGTTGGACTGGTGCATTGCCCAGGGAGGGGTGGACTGGTGGCCACCCAGGGCCCAGGTCTGAAGCGGTGCTGGGCACTGTGTAGCACCGGGGCTTCCCGCAGCGAGTCTCACCGCACGCTGTTTCCGGTTGCAGGCTACACGCTGATGCACCCGTCTCTCAGCAGGCCGTACCTACTGTCCGAGCCTCCCCTCCACACAGACATCATCCACTATGAAAACATCCCTAAATTTGAGTTGGTTCGGCAAAATATCCTCAGGTAAGGAAAAGGAGAGGGTCATAGCATTTCTTTTTTCTGAGGGACCTTACTGAGGTCAGATATGAGGGGAATCACAAAATATACTGAGTGTTTAGATTCTTAAAGAACATAGCACAGTAAAAGAAACATTGCCAAGAATGGTGGGGTAAGAGTGGCCAAAGTGAGGGGCGTGTTTTGAGTGATTTGCGGGGGGATTAATGACAGTCTTCCTTGTACTATAATATACATACGTAGACATTTTTTATTACCCTTGTTGATCAAACATTCATGGCCATTTCTGTCAAATAAAAATACACTGCTGTGTCCTCGTCCACCTGACTCCCCAGATCTGGCACTGTGACTTCCGGCTCTTCCCCAAAGTCAAAATGACCAGGAAAGGGAAACATTTTGAATCTGTTCAGAACATTGAGGCAGCCAGGACAGCACATCTAAAGACCCTCAGGAGAGAGGACACCAGAGCTGCTGGAAGTGGCCAGGACAGTGGGATGAGTGGTGTTCAGAACAAGGGGGAACCTTTTAAGGGAGATGAATCACAATGTGTCTTTTACTGTAATACAGATTTTTTAAATTAAACATTCACTGAAGTTTTTGATCACACCTCAGGTGAGGATTTGCTATAGGGTATAGGACAAGTATATAATTATTTTATTGCTATCAAAATACTCAGTAATTTTTCCATGAGACTAGTGGCTACGATTTTCTTGGCTTCCTATAGCAGACAGAGTCTCAGAACTATTAATTGCTTATAAAGTCTTATAAAGCATAATTGATGTTCATAGTCTCTTTAATTGTAAAATAAGCTATAAGATATCTCATTTAAAAAAAATACTCTGGTTATATCAAACTAGAAAAGATCAGCACAAATAAAAGGTTAGGCGAAGGACCAGCACTACTACATTTGCCCAAAAATCTTTTGGCGAAGTCCAGTCCATTCCGAGCTGACAGCCTTAAACAGCATTTTCTCTCAAAGTCAGACTGGCTGATTTCTGTCTTCGATGCGTCGTTCTGACAGACAGCGACCTGCGGAGAAATGGGCCTCTGTGCCCTTCGAGTGAATATTGATGACTTCAAGACTGAGCGGGCAGGCTTGGGAGGAAGGAGGCCCAGCGTGCGGGAGCCGGGCGAGGAGGGTCGGGACACAGGGCCTTCTCCAAACTGGAAGTCTCACGTTACGCTGCGCAGAGGCCCAGGGCTCTGTGGCTACTCAGAAATCAGGAGGGGCTTCCTGCTTGCCCTGGCAGGGCGCTTCATCTCATCCTCTGCTTCTGTTTGCCGGCACAGCCTCCCCCTGGGCAGCCAGACCATCTCGGTCCCGGTGAACTCCTCGCTGTCCTGGCACATCAACAAGCTGCGGGAGGCGGGGAAGGAGGCCTACAACGTCAGCTACGCCTGGAAGATGGTGCGTGGGGTGGCGGGCACAGGCTGTCCCCGGGGGCTGGCCGCAGGCAGTGTGGGGTGCCTCCCACAGGCGCCTCCTCACGCTCTCCTTTGCTGTTGGTAAAGCCAGCAGTTGCCCACAATGGAGAAGCCCAGCTGTAGAAAAGGACTGAGACGGAAAGTGAATAATGTGCTTCCCTCTTGCCTCGCCTTTACCCTCCCCTTCCTCACCACAGCCAGTTGGGTTCGCTTCCAGGAAGTGTGTCTGTGACCGAAGGGCACGGGTGCGTGCATGTGTGTGTGTGTGTGTGTGCGCGTGTGTGCGTGCGTGCGTGCGTGCGTACACGTGCACAGGCCTGAACGGCTGTCGAACATCCCACTGCACAGGTAGCCCACGTCTCCTTACACAGTCTCCTGCTTTACACTACATCCATGCCCGGTTTTTTTCAACCATTTCAATTCAAAGTAAGGAAGTTATGTATTAAGAAAGGAGATACAGAAATCTGGGCACGGTGCTGCACACGGCTCAGGAGGCTGAGGCGGGAGGACCACAAATTCAAGCTTAGCCTGGGAAACTTTGTGACTTAGTTGAAAGTTAAAAATTTTAAAAAGAACCTCTTTGTCCACTTTCTCTTCTGAACCTCATTCAGCAGCTGGGGCTCAGCGAAACATAGAGAAACAGAATCCAGCACCCCCTGACCACATCGCTGAGTTCCTCCCCCCTCCTCTCCCTTCCCAGCATGCCATGCTGACGCCGTGTGGGACCCTGCATCTGTAACTGTCCAAAAGAAGAAAGCAGCGCTTTTCTCTGGTCCAGTTGTAATCATTAAACTTCAGATGCCAGCCTCCTTGAGAGCACCATGTGGCACACAGCCGGTGTCCAGCCTGTTGGCTCTGGATGGATCCACTGTCCATCCCTTTAAGATCGAGTGTACATCAGGAGGTTAAATGGTTGTGATGCTGTCCCCCCTGCCCCCGCCCCGCAGCATCCAACCTCAAGGAGGACAAGGGTAGTTACAGCAGACCCTTGACTTCCGAGCTCAGTCCGTTCCTGAGGGCTGGCTGTAACTCCAAGTTGGTCAGTGGAGGCTCAGGCTCCCCTACACAGCCTTCAGAGTCTCTCTCCTGCACACAGGCAGATCTCAGGGTCCTCAGAGATACACTGGCCCTGGACTTCTTGGTGAGCCCCACTCAGGAGAGGATGCTGTCAGGTTCCTTCCAGACTCTTTAAGGGTTAAGTCTGTAACCTGAGGCCATCTGGAAGCACAAGCAGCCAGCATTCAGGTCATAACTGAATACTTTGATTGTAACTTAAAACTAAAATTCTGGTGGTAACCAAAGTTGTTCATATGTCAGGCCAGTCATAACTCGAGGGTCCACTGTAAACAGAATCCCACGTGCTGTCAGCATCTGGGACAGGAACCATGGGAGGGGCGGCCAGTGCACTATCAGACCTTGTCTCCTCAGCCTTCTTGCTTGGTTCTCAGTACCCTCTGGCAGTGCCAACTAAGCAGGAGACAAAAGCAAAAAATGAAAAAGTGAAATTTCAGAAGTTTGTGCTTACAAGCAGTTCTGTAGGAATTTCCTGTTTGGGAATACAAATTTGAGGAGGGCCAGAGTCTAGTATGAAATTTTCTTAGCCACCTCTCTTTTTTATAGTTTTTTTTCCCTTTGGAATCTGGCACCAGCTGCCCTTATCTTTAGATTCACATAATTTTTAAACATTAATTGTTTCACTTTCGCATCAGAAAGGATGAGCCTGGCACCAAAATTCACTGAAAGCTATTCTTTTGTATTTGAAGTTGGAGATTATTTGCCTCCGGGAGCTTCTCAGTTACGTCTTTCGAGAACATCCATGCTAATAATTATTGGCATTAAAAGAGAAAGAGAACATAGATATCTGTGTGACCTTCTTTGTACAGTCATTAAACCCAGTATCACTGTTTTGGAAGGAAGTATTATCTTCTAGAGCAGCGATACTGATAAATTCTAGCCACTGTCTCTGGGCACATTGGATGCAGTCACTTCCAGGGGAAGTGCGAGCTGCCTCTAGTTCTGAAATTCTCAACCGGTCACTGTTAGTGAAAATTAAGGAAGTGATGAGATTCAAAATAAAAGTGGCTTGCCTGGTTACCTGGTAATAAGGGTAAATATTTTCAAGCTTCCTTTGCTTACTTGAAGGTCCCATCTTGTCCTAAGGATTGGATTCTGCTAGTAGTATAATCGGAGTGGCCTTCTCAGGTGCTGAGTGATTGGCTAAGGGCTTGGCATCCGTACACCTAGCCGACACTGCTGGGTCGGGTCCAGAATTCATCTCAGTGACCTGTAAGGCTGTGTTAGTGACCTTGAAAGATCAGGCTACTGCTGCGTAACCACATCTGCTTTTGAGCGCCCAACAAGACCATGTGGAGACAGGAAGGCTCAATGTTACAGGGCAGGAAAGTGTTTCCAGGTGATGTTCACCTCCAGGCACGGATCCCGAGGGCCATCAGTGAACAAAGCCACTTCCTGCTCACGAGAGCCCTTCTGGAAACGTTGTGGTCCCTTTGCGTGCAAGAGCTGCCTTTGCAGCTGAGAACACGAAGGAAGACCCATATGGAAGCACGTTCTCCCAAGGGGTATTTTAAATTGCTACCTTTAGAAACATAGGGTAGCTTTTAATTTTTCTCTTCTAGAATAGACCGAATACAAAATTACATTCTGTTCATTCTGATAGGGCTTTGTTTCTCAGCTCGTGGGAGCCTGTAACACAGGCAAACTCAAGGTGAAGACGACAGGGAGAAAAGTGTAAATGCTGCTGTTGCTTTCTACATGGGATATGAAGGAAGAGGGTTAAATTTGCTAATCTAATGGCGTATCTTTGCCAGCAGCCCTTGAAAGTAGTTCTAGGAAGATGCAAGTTGCTTCTGTGTTTGAGGATCATTCTCAGAAACTTAAATTATACTTAAGTCTAGCCTGCCTAGCATAGAATTTCTCCTCGATCACTAAAATCGTTTGAGCCATCGTTCACTTCTGACTTAGTGGTCCTCCCCCTTTTCATTTATTTACAAACCGTCTTCTCATGGTCTTAACATCACAGACTCACAGCCACACTCTTCATCGAGTGTCGTGTGCTGCACGCAGCTGCACCACTGCACCTCGACATAGGTGGCAGGTAGCACACTAATCAGTCACACTGAGTCATCACAGACGTGCAACCCATCGCACAATGCCATCACCAGGTGGGGTCCCCCAGGCACTGTGGTGGCCTTCCAGCACCGCCACTGTGTTTGTGGTCACTTGTTAGTTGGCTTTGCATCGTTGTGGGTCTTTCCCTGACTGAACCTCATTCGAGCACCTGTCTCTAGGAGGAAGATAAATATAAAAGCTTGAGTTTCCACATAGGAGCCGAGACTTTAAGCTTGAAACGCTTACCAGCCTGGGTCTGTAGCGGAGTCAGTGGGCTGGGCTGGGCGCGGTGGACTTGCACTTCTGGCGAATTTGAGTAGCGGTGCTGGTCACCACTTGCCAGGAAAGCAGAAAGGGTTGGCCAGGAACCCAGTGAATGAGCCGGATTCTGTACTGGCTGCTGACGTTTCTCCTGAGGATTCCCAATTGGCTTGGAAAATAGTGGATTCTCGAAACACGTATTGTAAAACCAACTACGTGTTTTGAAGAATATTTCCAGCCCAGATAGAAGCGTGGTGCTGTGAGCCCCAAGGTCACCTGCGTCCATTGTTAACAACCATGAGCAAAAGAAGCGTCTTTCATTCATTCATCAAATGTTTCACGAGCACTTTCCGGGTGAGAGTAGAAAACTGAGACAGCAGAAAATGTGTCCGATGTGCTTGTCCCCACGGTTCCTTTGCTTTCTGTGTTAGAAATTCTTTACTGATTTTACAGGTCCAAGACACATCCTTTATTCTGTGCATTGTGGTGATACAACCGGAAATACCTGTCAAACAGCTGAAGAACCTCAACACCGTGCCCAGCAGCAAGCTGCTGTACCACCGCCTGGACCTGCTGGGCCAGCCGAGCGCTTGCCTCCACTTCAAGCAGCTGGCCACCCTCGGTAGGTGACGCCCTCCCCAGCCTCCTGCCTCACCCTCTGCAGGAGCCAGCCCCAAGCCCTGCAACCCTGTGCCTGCAGTGCCGGGTGGGGGGTAAGTGTGAGGGAGGTCGGAAGCCTCCCAGCAGGTCCGACTACCCAGCAGGCACCAGCACTCGCCCTGTTTGCTGGTGACGCACTTGTGCACGTGGGTAGAGCTCTCGTCTTGCTAGAAACCGGAGGGGTAGGACAGGAAGGAGGGGAGCGCACAAGTGTGGCTGCAGGTGACATTCCGTCCTCCTCCTGATTCCCTGCGTGGGTCAGGGTGTACCCGCAAGGGTGAAAAAGCCACACTGCCGTGACCAACAGGTCAGTCAGTGTCTGCATTTTAAAATGTGCTGCAGTAAAAGACACATTGCCATTAACCCCCCTCAAAACCCGCTCCCCACGCTGAACACCCTCGTCCCTCGTCCTGGCCGCTTCCTGCAGCAGCTCCGGAGTCCTCTCTCCCGAGGGTCTTTAGCTGCGCTGTCCTGGCTGCCTCAGTGTCCTGTACTCATTCAAAACCTGTTCGTTTCATAGTCATTTTGACTTTGGGGAAGAGCCGGGAATCACACAGCACCAGATCCGGTGAGTAAGGTGGACAAGGACGCACTGTAATATTTTTATCTGACAGAAACTGGTATACCTGACAGGTGATCATAAATACAAATTCAGTGAATGCTTAATGTGAACACTCGCTGTGTCTTTCCATCACCCCAAACACCACAGAGTTTGCCCGGACCCCGAGAAGGGGCCTCTGTTTGTCTCCTTCATTGCTCTCAGCTTTCTGCTTGTGCCAGGCAGGGTGGTATCCGCAGCCCACAGGCAGTGTGTGGAGAGTCACAGCAAGGTCTCCTTTTTCCTTTTGTCACTGTGTATCCCTTTTTGGTTCCTCGTGTTCTTCCTTGGTCTGAAGTGTGCTCTGCTTGAAATTAATGGAGCAGTGCTGCGTTCTGATTAGGATTCATCTTTGCCCCGTTATTGGATCCGTGTCGCTAGCGGCTGCCATCCTGCATGCCCCGGACAGGGTCTGTGTGGCCATATCCCATGGGCGTCACAGGTCAGGAAAAGGTGTTCCTCTGGCCCTGTTGAAAATACGTAGGATCACAAGAGTTGATAACTAAGAATCAACACCGCTGGCAAACTGAGTAGAGGGCCCATGTTGGAAGACGGTTGAGGACAGACATCTCCACTCTACATGCCCAGCAAGAGCACTGGAGTTGGAGTTTCTCCCGTGAATTGCACTCTAGAACACGCTTCCCAGACATGCGCTCAGAAGAGCAGGCCCAGTTTAGAGATCTGGGATGTTAGTCAGAGAAGCCTGGGTTTACATTTACTAGTCCATTTCGATTGGAGCTTTACAGTCTTTGTTTTTGAACAAAAGAAGACATTATTTTTCATGGTTTTAAAGCACTGTACTGGAGAGCTAATGTGTGCGGGACTCTGCGCTCTGTGCCGGTGAGCCAGACACTCCTGCGGGTGGGAAGGAGCTGGCCGCTCTGAAACTTGAGGCAGTCCGGGCTAGGGCTAGCAGCTGTCTCTGGGAAGGGTGCTCAGCGGATTCCGCTGCTTCCTTTGGGACCCTCAGAGCTTCACTGTCCAGCGTGGCGGCCCCGGGTGCTGGGCAGCTCCTGAGCTCTGAAAGGCGCCAGAGGAGCAGGTCTGGGAGGTATGAGCGACACACCTAACTTTCAAGCTGTTTGTTCCAGTAATCGTATCCTTCACGTATTGGTTTCCACGAATATATTAGTCTTTCTCTGGGTTTCTTTTCTTATTATTTTTTCTTTTTTTAAATTTAGTTTTATTGGTACATTTTAGGTATACAATACAGTTACTTTCATCATTGGAAATTTGCACCTTTACATAATCTCTCTTGGTTCTTATTTTTCCCCCTTCCCCTGCCCTCCCTTCAACCCCTCCA